AATTTCGTTTTGTGCAAAAATTTGCACAAAACGAAATTAAACTTTTTTTTTATAACTCGATGCAGCCATTTATTTAAAAATTAATTTTGAGTAAAAAAAAAATGTTTAGGAAGGAAATAAAAAAACAATTGCAATAAAAATAAGCTAAATTTTTTTAAAAAGAACAAATAAAAATTAAATATTGAACAATATTTAAGAATATTTTTAAATAAATTTGACAGTTAAGTTAAACCCAAGCATTAACTTTAATTTTAATAAACTTAAATATATTTTTTAAATCAAAATTAAATTATATATTTTTGTTTAATTGTTATAACTTTTTATCTTTATATCTTACCTTTTTATAGCAATTAATTTTACACTAAACTTTTTATCCAAATATTAAGCAACATGAAAATTTTTGCGTCAATCCTTAACTACAAATTTTTTGCAATGTTTTTAATAAAAAGTAGTAACTTGTAAAAGTTTTCAGTAAAAAACTTTAAAAAAATCTATATTCCATTAATTTTTAGAAAAATACAATCTACATGTTTTTTTTTACAAGCATATGAAATTTTTGAAACAGGCTCGGGTATGCTTAAGCAAAAAGTTAAAAGAGCCTCAAAAACATGCTTAAACTTAAGCATATTTCTAATAAAATATGCTTATTTCAATACTTTCTAAAAGTGCGCGCGTTACTAAAGGTTATAAGAAAAATAAAAAGTTGACTTTTGTACAGTATAATAAAAAATAAAAAATATATACTATATACAAATGTTATCAATGAAATCAAAGTTATGAACTTCGCATTCCTTCTCGTCCGGACCCATAAAGGTGTCATCTAGAAGAATTTCGTTGGCATCTTCATTTATAGCATCATCTACCTCCACCGGTTGAATATCACTTTGATTCCCCTTAGGTTGATCACTGCCAGGATCAATGATGGATGGTGGGGGCACTTTGAAACTATAAAGGCCCTCTGGTTTAACAAGCGAATCTTCTGAGCCATCAGAAGTCATTAAACACCATTCATCGTCCAACATTTCTTCCTTTGCTTGTCATACTTAGAAGTGTTTAAAGCTTTCCATGCTTCCCCTGCCCAATGTGTAATCAAAATTCGTCTCTCTTTTGCAGTGTAGGGCATTTCATTACTGAACCATCTATCAGAATGAATATCTCTATCAAGCCATTTTTGATGTTCAATGGCAATAAGCCTTTTCAGAGTTGCAGCATATCCGACATCAACTGGTTGCCAAAGGTCAGTGGCACTTGGTAGACCGTACCAGAGAAGTCCTTTAGCAGCAGCCACAGCATCTTTAAAATCCTCCTGCATCTGTCCCTTCAAATTGTCCAGCAAAAGAACAAATTTATCAAGCTTTTGTTCTCTGACAAATGGAAGGAGTGTTTTATCACACCAGTGCTTACAAACGTTTTGGTCTAACCAAGCATTTTGTTGGAAGTAAACATGAATATCTTTGTGCCATGCTAACTTTTCGTCTTTTGAAATGCGTTTTCCTTGAACTCTAAAAATGAGGGCTAGCTTTGGTTGCTCTCCTTCTGGCCGAAACATAATTTGAAGGAAACATTGCCTTTTTTCCAATCCTGAGCCCGGTTGTGAGATCCATGTATTATGTGTTGCACCTTGACCCTTGGGAACATACTCATAATTTTTCTTACCATGAACAACAAAGGGAAGTGGGCTCTGGTCAACGTTGAGCCTTTTTCCAGGTTGGTACCGTCCCCATTTTTTGTCATAGCTGGGATCTTTAGAACCTGTTCTGATACACTTTTCTCTGTATGTCGCACGCCATTTCTGTAATAATGGTTCCATTTCTTTCGTATGTTTCCTTTTGTTTCTTTGTTTTGATCTCATTTTTAAATTCTTTTTTTGTAAAAATCGAACTATAACATGATGTTTTATTACCACGTTTGGATCAATGTTTAATTGTATATTTCTATCTTTACTCTAAAGCCAGGAAAAGTTAACAATATGACCTTTCGATCTGGCTTGTAAAAATTCTTTGTAAAGAATTTCGTATAGTTTAAGATATTTTGTGGAACGTCTTCCCTTCAGAAACAATTTGCGATAGGATGATACGGCATCTTTAATAATAGTTTCTTTTTTTTTAAGCCACCGCGAAAACGACTCTGCAATAGTATCTTGATTTGCCTCATAACCATAGGCGTTAATTGCCTCTGCTTTAAAGGCAGAAGTATATTGGTGGCGTTTCTTACCAGCTAATTTGCTAGCCTCTTCACTTTTTTTTATGGCACTAACAACTTTGTTGACAATGTTATCAAGTACATCTTTAACTGCTAGAGCAACAAGTTCTTTGTTACTTTGAAGAACTTGTGATTGTGAATGTTTACAATCTTGTTTGCTAATTCCGTGCATAACTTTAACATGAAAAGCTAGTCCTTGTTGGCTTTTGAATAACTTTTTGCCATGTTCGCATTCAACACTAGTTTCGACAGCTTCTAATGGCAATCAGATTGCACTCATTTCTCCTCTGTGCATAAC